ATCTAGGCGATATAAAAGAACTGGCGAAATTCCTGGGAAACACCACTGCTTGTCCGCGACTACAAAGCAGTTAACAACAAAGTGGTCGTTAACCCCGATCCGTAACCTGAGGACTCACTTGGTGGTGGTACTCAGCTGTGCTTCTGTAAAGTTATGCGACAAGGTGTGAGTGAAATGGGTTGCACGGGATCATTTATTTACTCGACCAAACAGGGACATACCTAATGCATGGAACATTAAAAAGCTCATGTTCACGAGAATCAATTTTCTTCATATGACGTACATTGATGGCGACATGTGATGCACTGTTATCTACTGTGATAACAGAGTCAGCCCCTAATTGATGGCGTCTGGATGTGTTCTGGAATGCGGAATATCAGGTGCCACTATCTGCGGCAGCGTATCGTGGAATCACGAATTTCACAAGACACGGTTTGATACCAGTTGTTATGGTATCTTGGTGGTCTGTTTGTTTGTTTTTCTGTTCACTTACACATACGGGGTTTGAGATAGGGACTAATTTTATTGGCCCCCGTTTTAAACTTCCACTGATAGCTGAATTAGTACAGCCAAAAGCTCAGTCTTAAATCCTCATTCGGTTCGATTTTTACGGTTGATTAAAGCACCGACTTTTCTTCGGTTGACTTAGTTTATCTTTGAATCCAATTGAAACGAACCAGCAATTCAGTTCAGTACAACTATCCACCAATATATAGCTCCTGGATTTCAGAACTGATTCGGTGTGATTATAACGAGTTCGTCAGTCAGCACAGGGTTAGCCTATGATCTGCGCTTTTTGTATAGTGTCCTTTGAGCAACTGTGATTAGGTCTTAGTCTTTTCAGTAATTCTTACCAACTTCACAAATACGTTCAGACACGAGAGGACCGGGGGGGGGTAGTGAGCTTTGTTCCTTTCCATGACCATCTATTTTCTAGTAAGAATAAGATAATCCTGTTCAATTTCAGCATCCAATCCCTAGAGTACATTCAATAATTCATTCTATTTCAAAGGAGAGGAGAAGGTGTCTTTATGATTTCAATTGCCTGAGATAACTTGCTAGATTGCGTCTATTCTGGAAAGTAGGTTTTCTAGACTTTTTGATACAGCGAAACAGAATACGGGTTTCATCATGCTTAACTGAACGACTAGGGAAAATAAAGATGAATGATTTTCATCAATCTGCAAAGAAATTATTGGTTTTTTTTCATAAATCAATGATTTTTCCTATCTACTGAAACCGAGTGAAATGCTAGCCACTGCTCACTTAAATGGTAATACCCGTCTTGGTATAGCATAGTACGCTTTCGATTGTATCATTGATAATCGAATGGCAGCAACAGTCACAGAACAGTGTTGTCTTGCCACGACTTATGATCGTTACGTGCGCCTCTTGACTGGCCCCCGACAATTGGAGAGAGAACTACGGCTGAGAAAACGACAGTCAGAATATAGTATTGACCATGACACAGTACGCAGATATATGTGGTAAATTCGGCGTACATGATGTCGCATCAATCAGACCGCGTCATTGATACCCTGGTTGATCGATCGAACAACAGCTGTCTGATTCGCCTCAGTCCTCCAAACAGGAATCGATTCAGTGTTGGACGTCACGAACGCACTTGTGGTGTGAAGCGGATCAATGCGTGGCCTGACGGGTTTTGTGCGCTCCGTCCTAACAGTGTACATCGGTTGTTCATACTTTATTCCTTCAGTGCGCGGCAATCATGAAATTCTGGTTATCCGGAACCAGATCGGAGTTTCACAGTTCAGGACTCACTCAACAATCACTGGATGACGATTCGGTAAAAGCTGATTACTGAGGAGCTAGTCATGTTACCCATTAGAATTTCGGACAGTTTCCGCCCCCTACAAGATAATCCAAATGAGCTTCGATCCATTCAAGTTGATATTAGTAAATCAATCCAAATTCTCTTTCGTCTCAGAACAGGCTCTCGTTATCTTACACTGGTAAAAAGTTCACATGCCCACTGTCAAAACATTTCCAAATCTAATTCTGTTAAACAAGTTGATGACACTCCCACGCAAACCCAGTCTTGATCTGCTAACGCTGAAAGTATTTTCACGAAAGTCTGAAGACAGTCTAATTATTATGCGTTCTGACTTAGGTAAGTAACTGTTCTCCAAATCTTTAGTCTCAAATTTGTGATCGTCCGCATTCTTCGACGCATTTTCTCTGAGAAAAAGATTTTACCTTATTCTCAAAATCCCTAAACTTTGGACCCTTCACGGTCTCACTTATAAAAAAAACTTTTTGGATTGAGGATTTTTAGTGGGACAATTTCAGTTCAGTTCAGTTTGATAACATTGATCATGAACTGTCGTGTGTCGGTTTTGGTTGCTGCTCTTTTTGGCTACCCCTTCGGATGAAGGAGTAGAAGAAAGATTGGAATACTGAACGAAGCGTGAAGGCAGAAATGGAGAAGTTTCTGCCAATATAGCAGCCCTGATCGACCAGCTGCTGCACACACTTCAACCTTCACGGACAGCAAAATGTCTCGACGACCCCAGAGGTGACTAGAATCGGTAAATTCCAATCGAGTTGTTTGTACGCGTGCCGACGATTTGCCCACTATGTGTCTGCCAGGTGAGATATAGCTGTCCGAATAATAAAAGTTGTCCAATAGTTCCTTTACCTCCACAATAAAGGCCCATGTTGCGAGCTGAGCCAACACAGTCCGCTAGCAGTATTCTACATTTTGAATGTGCAAACTAAATGACGAACATAGTAATATACTGGCACTTAAACTTTCCCGGATCTTCACTTAGTAGCACAATGTTGCCAGCATGATCCAGATCAGATAGTCTGCCGCCTGGAGGTAAATCGATGTTCCTGACCTCGTCAAGGATAGGATTGTCTCCAGAATCAGATCCATAAAAAAGTTGAACCGAAAGGAGTGAGATGGTTGAATTCTGACGAACACCGCTTATCGTGATGAACTCCGGTGAATAAGGTGAGTCCCCTTCAAATTCGTTTTCCGCTTTTGGTACAGGGAGATCGTAAAATTGAAATAAAATTCTCGGACACATCGTTCAAGGATAGACAGCGACGGAATCAATATCGATCGACTGAGTTGAACAGTGTTTTTAGATCAAGCAAGATAGGAGTGGTGAGTCTACAAAAAGAATGTCTGTGTTACCTAATTTGGCGAAGGACGAAAATGTGGTCCATACAATTTCCATCAGGTTGTCAAACCAGATCAGTTGTCAGGAGTGCACCGTTCATGTGCAACAGACAACAAACGGAATGNAATACGGAGACAATGAAAAAGGTTTGCAAAGAAAAAAACAGACAGTCACATTTCTTGGCACTGTGCATGGTTTTTCCTTTTGTTTTGAAGTAACGTGGATCATATGCAAATTTATCCGGAGAAACATGAGCACATATGTGGCGAATCAATACGGGCAATAAAATTTCGCATGTATTTGGCATCTGAAAGCATGGTAAGTCATTCGCTCATTCATTCATTCACAAATC